GGTATTCAACATTCCTTTCATTTATTGTCTCAACATGATATCCATTTCGGCGAATATTTTTAAAACTTAACAGGTTTCTTGGGGATTTAGAAGAAAACAAAGCATCTATGACGAGTTTTGTCCCCTTAGGCAGAAATATAGTAGCTCTTCCGGAGCTTTCTATTAAGATTGAATTACCAGAAATTGTAGTAACATTTGCTTTTCTTCTAAGCAAGTAGGAGAAATATTTCTCATCTTTGAATATGGCGTGCGTTGTTCCACTATCAATTACACAAATATCTTCATGATTGATCATTGAGGTATCCATATACTCTTCAAGATAAAAGATATAAACGAAATAAACATTATAATATTATTACTAAACAAAAACATTACACAACCTTTTAGTTATTTACAAGTCTAGGAAAACATATTCATACTAGTTCATACAAACGACGAAAATGAAATATATTTACATTATCACAGATCCATCACCTATCAGGTGATCTATCTTGCCTTCGGGATTCTCAAAGAAATCCGCTACATCTAGATGCATGGGTTCAACAGTATCTTCCGAGATAAAGTTGGCTTCAACGTTATTTTTCACCTCCTTCAGGGAAGCTTGATATAGCTCAACCAGGTGCTTTGGCGTACGACAGGTACGTGACCAATGTCCTTTTCCTCCACATCGATAGCATTTGTTGTCTGAATTTTTCTTCTGCACTACATCATGTTTTTCATTCTTCTTTTTACACTGCTGGTGTTGAAGGTTATTATTTTGTGCAAGACGATCACCATGATTGAAATTTCTTCCTCGACCACGGCCACGACCACGAGTGGGGCCACGACCTTTTTCACGCCTAGATTGGTGAAAATTTGCCGCATTTACTTCAGGAAATGGCATAAAGCCAGTAGGTCGACTTTCATGGTTTTTCATCAGTAAGTCATTATGTTGTTCAGCAACAAGGAGATGTGAAATTAATTCGGAATATTTTTTAAATCCCATTTCTCAGTATTGGTGCTGCAGAAGCATACTCGAGGCATGAAAAGTGGAAAATGTTTTCTCCAACATATCATGGTCAGTGATATTTTCTCCACATAATTTTAATTGTGAGATAATTTTAAACATGGAAGAGTTATACTCACTGATAGATTTAAAATCTTGAAGTCTCAAGTGGATCCAGTCATAACGTGCCTGTAGAAGGACGACCAACTTCAGGTGGTCATATCTATCTTTTAAATTGTTCCACAACACCAGAGGATCCTTAACAGTGAGATATTCCATTTTCAAACCTTCATCAAGGTGATGACGGAGAAATATCATCGCCTTAGCACGGTTTTGATTCGATGCTTGATTATTTTCTTGGATGGTGTCTGCTAGACCCATCGCATCAAGATGAATTTTTGCATCGAGTACCCATGATAGAAAGCTTTTTCCCGATATGTCTAGAGTAAGAAATTCAAATTTAGACAGATTAGACATTATTAAGAAAATAAAATTTATACCTCCGAGACTTTTAAGTCTTTACTTGAACTGGCAGAGAATCGTGCTGATAACGTGTTATAAAAGAACTTACTAAAATTAATATACTAAAAGAAGGAAAATTTAGAAAGTAATAATATTTCATAAAATTGTATATATTGTATCAACATGTATAATGGCTATTTATAGCCTATGACTTTATTTACACATATGTATCACTTTGGCCATTATTGGCCAAGTGATGTATCCTTTGCCTATTATTGGCCAAGTGATGAGTTGCACAAGTGATGCAACTCATTCACTTGTTTGGGGCTCACGTGGCATGTATTACAACAATTTCAAAATTTTACTTACATTTTTTCATAAGTTTAGAGTAAAGGTGGGTGGGCATGGTATGATACTGTATTTTTAAAGATGTTTTTTGGGATGAGTTTCAAACGAATCTCAGAGCGGGGCAGGACACACCAAAAATTCATCAGGGTCCAATTGTAAATCGTAGATTTATAGGAATATCTTAAAATTGGAGTGTAAGTTTTAAGCGTAAAAATTTAAGCTCGAGTATAATAAGCTCTGGGTGTTTTTAGTTTTATGCTTTTTTTTAAAAATATTTTTAAATCTTTTTTGCTTTAAATCATATTTTTATTATTAGTGTAAGGACATTTAAAAAATAATAATTGTAATACTTTTTTTCTTTATTATTGATGAGTAATACCTTCCTCAAATAAAACTCATAATATATAATTTTATACATATATTATAGGTTATTTAATAAAATTTATTTGTAAATTTATTGAATATTTTAATTTACTTTTAATTTTTTTTAAAATTATAAAATTGAATATACATAAGATTATGCATCGTAGATCCATAAGACTTATGCATTTTTTTCGAGGCTTATGTCTTGCCTCATACGGCATAAAATGTCTTGCCTCACATCTCTGCTTTTTAACACAATGATATGCCATTTATTAAATTATTACTTCTATATTATATCAAAACTTTTAATATCATAGTGCGTTTGTATTATAATATTTGATATAATATATCGTATACAAATCAATTTATTGATATTCGATGCGAAATTTAGTACGTAGAAATAACATATATATACCAAAATATCGACTAACGTACCTATATATAACACTAACAAATATAAGTATAAATTAAAGGTTTAAACCTCTATTTTAATTAAAATATAATTGATTAACTAAAAAGAGTTAGTTTTATATTTTCTTTTGAATAATTATTCCTAATATATAATTTGTTAATACGATATAATTAAATTTTTTATTAATTATTTAAATCATAATATTCTATTATATAAATATATATTAATTGAAATTAAATAAACTATGTTACTAATTCCTTATTAAAACTGAACTTCAAAAATACTAAACTAGAGCAAATTAAGTTGATATAGTAATATTATACTAATCTTTTAAAAATTGAATACTAAAAATTATAATATCGAGTACACGTCCGTATCATAAATTGCAGCACCGTCAAGCTATAAAACAAATGATAGTGAAGCTTTGACACGTAGAAACAAGGTGTCTCATTTATAATCCACTTGCGTGCATGCATGCAACTACTCACTTTATAACAAGAAATTAGTTTAGTGTTCTTCTAATTACAAAAATATTGTTGGAAGAAGGAAAAAATGTCAAGAAATTTGATAAAAGAGGGGATAACGAAAGTAGTTGGGGGTTGGAGAAAGGAGTTTCCTATACTTGAAGGACATCCAATTGGGCAACAACATGGAGAAGAAGTTGTGAAGTCTATTGAGAACCTCAAAAGAGGTGATGATAAATGCAAGGAATTTAGAATTTATAGATGGAGTCCTCATAATCCAAACCAAAAGCCCTATTTTCAATCTTTTTTTCTTCACCTTCCCTCTTGTGGCCCCATGGTATGTCCTCTTATGCTAACTTTTTATTGTGTTATGTTTGTAGTTTACAATCTAATTTCAAGGAAATGCTCAAATGTGTGTTCCTAACCTTTGAGAAAAGATTCATCTGTATCATCTGTTAAAAAGTTTTGATTCCATTTATTGATTTGAATTTTCTTTCGGAAAAAGACTAATTCATGTTTTTATTTTTTAATAAAAAAATTTTCAGTTTTGCAAAACTATTTTTTATACTATACTGCCACGTCATTAATTAATTCATCATCTTTTTCTAAAAAAGGCTCAAATATATGTTGAAATTTTGAAAAAAAAAGACTGAAATCTGTTTAAAGTTTGACTCATCGCGCTAAATGTTAGCGCATTGTTGATTTTAATTTTGTTCTTTCTAGGTTCTAGATGCATTGCAAAAGATAAAAGGAGAGGTAGATTCGAGTTTAACTTACAGGCGATCATGTAGAGAAGGGATATGTGGATCATGCGCCATGAACATAAATGGCGTTAATACAGTAGCATGTCTCAAGCCTATTGATACAGATACGAGCAGACCAATGACCATAACTCCTCTTCCTCACTTGTTTGTAATCAAAGATTTGGTCGTCGATCTCTCTGATTTCTATCACCAGTACAAGTAATTTTCCTTTCATCGACTTTGTTTAATTTTTGATCAAATTTTCATTGTGTCTAATCTTATGTGTTTCTGCATTGTAGGTCCATAGAGCCATGGCTAAAGACACGAAATCCTCCGCCAGAGGGGAAAGAGTATAGGCAAACACCTGAAGAGAGGAAGAAGCTTGATGGCTTATATGAATGTATATTATGTGCTTGTTGCACTACTTCTTGCCCTTCTTATTGGTGGAATCCCGAGGAGTTCCTTGGCCCTGCAGCCTTGATCAATACCTATCGATGGATATCGGACAGGTTAATTAATACTTAAAATTGGAAAAATTGTTCATAATTTTGATTATTTTTTCTTCTTTGTTTTTGTTTTTGTTTCAGTCGAGATGATTTCGCAAATGAGAGACTGCAGGCGATAACAGAGGACGAAAGGCGTTTATATCGATGCAGGGCCATAGGGAATTGCACAGCATGTTGCCCCAAGAGCCTTAGACCTTCTGAGGCCATAAGCAAGATGAAGACCAAGCACTTAACTGGGATACCAGTGGAGACTCTAAGCAATAATAGGAAGACTAGTCACTAAACTGGTCACCGAATTTGGTGTTATAGGGTTAATTCTCTTGTGCATTGTTGTAGTATGTGGCGTCTTATTACAGTTTGGCTTTGTTATCTCTATCTTTTTGTGTGTGTGTTTCTTCAATCGACTAATACACCAACCAATCCAGGAAGAATTAAGAATGAATAACTAAGGAACTGGTGTTGAAACAATAAAGATCAATCTAGATTAGCAACTATGATAAAGAATAACAAGAACTTAACAAATGATTGAATAACAAGAAATTACAAAGGAAAACCAGTTCTAAAGATAGAGAATAGATCGATAATCAATAATCCAAATTGTTAAAGTCCCGCACAACAAAAATAACTTTTAATATTAATTAATTCATAAAAATAGATAAAAAAAATTGTAATTTATAATATTATTTATGATTTTTATATATTTAAATTTTTTTCAAAGTATCATAATTTTGAAATTTATTAACTTTTGAAAATATGATTAATATAACTAAAAGTACGACAAGGTAATTGACACGTGTAACCAGGTGTCTCTCATTAATCCATTCACTTGCATGCAATACAAAGTAAGCTCTCTCTTATTATATAAAGAAAGAAAAAACACGTAGAAGTGTTTTTGTTTCCATATTTTCTGGGGCTGTTCATTCAAAGAAAATGTCAAGAAACTTAATCCTAAAAGAAGTGGTAAAAAAATTGAGGCATTTGAGAAAGAGGGAGTACTCTAGGTTCCCTATACTTGAAGGGCACCCAATTGCACAGCAACATGGAAAAGAAGCAGTGGAATCTGTTGAAATTCTCAAGAAATTAAGTGATAAAGATAAGAAGATGAAGGAATTTAGGATTTATAGGTGGAACCCTCATAAACCTAACCAAAAACCTTTTCTTCAATCCTTCTTTGTTCATCTTCCTTCCTGTGGCCCCATGGTATGTGATTTTTCATTGCTATCCTAATTAATTTTTGTTAATTTAGTTGGTACTTTTGTTAGGATGCAGTGGTGTTTTGTCTTTGCTTTTCAAGGGTTCAGGGTTGCTGGTGTTTGTACGTTCTTGTACTAGTTGTATTATGTTGTAGTTTTTGTTTTTGATATTTGTCTTCATTTGTTTATTGTGGAAATATTTTATTGACGTGGAATGTCAAATGTGTCGAGGTTTTTGAAAATAAAGGAGTGCGTTAGTTATACCACTAATATGGGTTTCTCAAACTAATGATCATCACTATTTTGTTTTTCTGATTTTGCACTACTTTTCTTGTTAGTTGCTACATTTTCTAGTTATTCTCATTAGAGGTCTATGCTGAATTTTGAACCTATTTTGACTTAAGATATGGAGATTAAGAAAAGGAGGAATGATTTAGTTCAAGACACACATCATAACATTAATGTTAAGTTAAATTTTTCCAAACTTCAGAAAATTCCCTTTTTTTGGGTGTGCATTGTAACATTTTTCTCTTCCCTGTAAATTTTAGGGGAAACAGAATCTGCTTCGAGCCTAACAGAGTCTTTTATGTATAGCGTGCTATTAATTAGAAGTTCATTAGACGCACTCAATTTAGTAGATATTTGTTTTATAGGTTCTGGATGCATTGCAAAAGATAAAGGGGGAGGAAGATTCGAGTTTGAGTTACAGAAGGTCATGTAGAGAAGGGATATGCGGATCATGCTCAATGAACATAAATGGTGTTAACACCGTCGCATGTCTCAAGCCTATAGATACAGACACTAGCAAGCCAACTACCATCACTCCTCTCCCTCACATGTTTGTTATCAAAGATTTGGTGGTTGATCTCACTAATTTTTACCAGCAGTACAAGTAACTTCCCTCTCCTTTTCTCATTTTATCAAGTTATTTAACTCCAATTATATGTCCGGTACTGTAGACATGTTTGACATTGATGTTTAGTTATCACCCTATTATATTATTCAAGTCACGACTATAATATTTCTTCCATTTAAAAAAGAATGACCTCTTTTCCTTTTTTTAATAACATTTTAATTTCAGTTTTTCACGTGAGATGTTTAAGACCACAAGATTAAAGGATAATTTTGTACATTTGACTTAACTTTAATTTAGAATCACAAGATTTTAAAAAAAAATTTATACTCTTAAAACACCGTGCTAAGTCAAACCAGATTATTCTTTGTGAAACAGAGGAGTAACACTTATTCTGTTTTAATTAGTGTTGCCTGTTTGATTAGGTATGGACGATGTTCAAGAAAGAAACTAAGACTTATGAAATTGTGGTATGAAACAAGCCTAAAGACATTTTTATGGCGATAAAACATTTTATGACAGATAAAAGATAAATTTTTAAATTAAGTTGTTTCTAATTATGAAGAATATAATTTTCTTTTGGACAATTTAGAAAGGAAAGTATGCTACAAAAATCAGGACAGTGGAGAATATTTGTATGTTAGTACGTACAAATACTTGCAACTATTTATAGTTGAATCTTAATTAATAATTGGCGTTAACTAGATCTGTTTCAAGTTCACTATAATCTTTTATTATCGATAGATGTGAATCCGCAATGTAGAGTAATTAGCAGAATAGGTCTCGAATGGATGATCTTATTATGCCTATACAAGTGTTTTTGGTGTGTGCGTGTATAGTTGCACCGAATCAATGAATAGTTCATCGATCAGTTGAACTCTGTGATAGATTAGACCTCTAATCGACAATTATACATTGGAGCATGGTGCAAAAACTGGATGTTGTGGGTGTTTTGAGGATTTGCAGGTCTGTAGAGCCATGGTTGAAGACACGAAAACCGCCCCCAGACGGGAGAGAATACAGGCAAACACCAGAGGATAGGAAGAAGCTTGATGGTTTATACGAATGCATATTATGTGCTTGTTGCACTACTTCTTGTCCTTCTTACTGGTGGAATCCCGAGGAGTTCCTTGGACCAGCAGCCTTGCTCCATGCCTATCGATGGATCTCGGACAGGTTAATTTCAAGACACCAGTCGAATAAATACCAATAATACGGATAATTAATTTTCTTTTTTTCTTTAGTCGAGATGAATTTGCAAATGAGAGATTGCAAGCAATAACAGAGGATCAAGGGCGTTTGTACCGGTGCAGGACCATAAAAAATTGCACAGCATGTTGCCCGAAGAGCCTTAATCCTGCTAATGCCATAAACAAGATGAAGACTATTCACTTAACTGAGAAGCCAATCCAGGATCTTGAAGCTGAGCCCGAGCCTCGTTTTGGGCAAGCCTAATGTCTAGTGTGTTCCTAGCAAACATATTGTAGCACATACGAGTCCATTATAGCACGTACCAAATATGTTGCATTTTAAAATTGTTATACGTACAATTTAATTTAAAGTTGAGAGATATTTCTTCAAAGTTCGAATTATATTACTGTCAGCTATCTGGCTCATGACCATCTTCAGATTTTCACAAATAATGTCTTTCATTAGAATTTCATGAAGTAGATGCAACATTAGGTTAGTGAAATGTCACATCCATGTCAAATTATATGTGATATGTACAAGTGTAGTTGTTACTTGTTAAAGCTTAACTAATAGTTGAATAAAAGATTAGGGCCTTTTTAAACCTAAAATCGAGGGTTTAAAGTTACTTCTTAACCTTTTTAAATACCTTCCAAACTAAAAAAATGTCTACAAATAACCATATCCAAAACGGGAACTAAGTCGCCTCAAAATTTACATGAAGAAATATGTAATAAAAAATTATATGTAAGAGAATAAATTTATACTTGTGGGAAAAGTCGCCCAAAAGGATCTTGACGCTAAAGTCACAAAACGGTGCCGTTTTGCTCATCACCTTCTTCTCAGGATTCCCATAACCCTTGCAGTTGATGTTCAGTGGAAAAGAAGATATTAGTATACAGAATAGTGCAATTTGTTGCCCATAAGTTCCAATTCTAAGGTACCCAGTTTCTTTTTAATTCACATACTTTGTCAAGTTTGTGCAAAATGCAGGTGTACAGGTCTCTGTTAAATTCAATCAAGGACCGTTCTATACAGACACTCAATACATATGAAAGGTAATGTGCATTTTTTATAATGAATACTCAATCATACACCGTTGAAATTTTATGGGTTTTGGTTTTCTTGAATTTTTATGGGTAATTTGTGTATATATAACATTTTTCTGTATTATGGAAATTTTATAGTTTGGTTTAGTTATTCTTTTGTTTAAATATGGTTTTTGTAGTGTTGTTACTCCAAATATTATGTGTAGTTTGTTGGTTGTTACTAATCTAAGATTTTGAGAAAAAAATTATGAGAAGATTGGTCCCTTTACGAACCTCAAACTGTTTGGTTTTTGGAAGGGGGAAGGAAGCAAGGAGAGATGAAACTGAAGTGATCTACTTCTTCTTAGTGAGAAGCATTACTAATTTTTTTCCCGTTGCTAGTGAAGTTGTAGAAATCAATATTGGTATATTTTCTCCTAAATAGTCGGATTGGAATAGCGTTATGAGAGAACAAAATGTTAGTGAAAGCTCTAATTATGATATTATTGATGCTTGGTTGAAGAGTATGAGAAACAAATTTTGATGAATACACTGATTCTATTGTTCTATTGCATTTAATATGTTTAACGTGGAGCTAGTTATTCTTTGCCTTAAATTTGAACACTAGAAATAATCATGTTGAGATTACCTTTGCGTAGATGATACTTAATATAAAGCAAAATTTGAAATATCTAGGTTAATATTCCAATTGTATGACTGTTAGAAACATGGAAGTGTTGGTGGCATTATCGTCAAAGTTGCTTTTATGTCTGATTTCAGCTATAACATGGCTTACTAGAGTTCCTTTTGATATATATTGGTTAAGGGGTCTTTAGAATTACAGCTTGTCTTACCTAATGCGTTATGTATGGTGTTTTGGGTTCATGAGTTTCAATTGGTAGCAGGGGAGGCTGTCTTGGATAGATAGATTAAACATGCTATGTGGTTCATGGATTTCTCCAAGAGAGATGAGGTCCCCTTTAGAAGGAAACTTTGTGAAGTTTCAATTTATGCGTAACAACTCTTACCTCCACCAGTAACTACGTACTTCTTGTAGTGGCAAACTGTCTCTCTATAGTTTCTCCCTTAGACATTTTGCTAATAATAAGGTTGTAAGATCCATCATGAGCAAAATTTGATTTTGAGTAAGGGACTAGTAGTAACTTGCAACAACATACCTAGTGGAATCCCACTGGGGAGGATGGTGAGTGAATGACTAGTAGCAACGTCCATCAGGAAATTAAGGGAGAAACTTATAAGTGTAAAATGTAGCAAATAATTGCCTCACATTGAGGCTAAGTTGGGGGAGCTTCAGTCTGTCCTTGCTATAAGGAAAGGGTGAGAGCCAGAGAGGCACGGCAAGTTAAAAGAACTGTAAGTTTCCAATCGTCAGAAGCTTGATGTAGAGAATTTATTAAATTAACTCTCCGTCAGATTCAGCTTTGTAAGATTGTTGACTCATCTAAAGTTGCAGTTATGCCTGTCCACAGTCTTAGTTAGTCGAGAGAGCATCAGCTTCATGTGACTGTAAAGTATTGAAATGAAGATGACACTTCCACTGTTATGAGCTTGATGTGTTAAAAGTAGGGGAGTGTAGATGGTGCTTTTTTACTAATATTTTCTACTGAATATGTCCATTTGAATGCATAAAGTGTATCTACGAGGAGAGATATGCATAATGCATTACCATGTTCGAGATTAGAATGACCTTTACATGTAATTCTTTTTTTCATTTTGAAGTTTACTTGCAATTATCCTGGCAAAAGAATATAAATTTGCAAGAAGAGAGGAACTCACTATAGACATTCACTTCAATTATAATTGGAACAAGTCTTTTCAAGTTCTATTCCTAAAGAAAGCTATGATGTATTGATAATGCAAATCAAGCCCTGTAAGTGCACACTGATACTTCCCATGAGACTGCCTTCCCCCATCAAAAAAAATGGGGGAAAAAGAGAGAAGAAAAACGACTCAAATACATGTAGAACATGAAGGATAAAAGCAAACCATTTCAGTTTCAAATTATGGAGTGCACTGCAATTTTTCTGATTACTTGTTTCATGTGTAGGTTTACCCCTCCTAAGCGCTTCCATTCAGCCAGCTGCATGAGGTCTTCTAGAAAGACTTATGATCCGCCTTTATTAACTGGACCATCCCCAACATCGAAGTCTTGGAAACCTTATATATTAGTATTGCATTTGAACTCCACTTTCCTTTTGATGTGTTTTGTGACTGTTGTTGCATGTGCTCTGTGCAGTTGTCTATGGCGCCTTCATCTTAGTTGTCTTCATCTTATTCTACTTTGCAGCCTGGAGCTGCTTTGGGAGTATTTGGTGGACTGATCCTTTTTCTTCATTATAATGATGAAAGAAGAGCAATTCCAAAAGGTGGGGCTCTCGGTATATTTTTTAAGCAAAGTTTTTCGTGTCTTTCAATCTAAATACGCCTCAATCCATGGGTATTTTTTTTAAGCAAAGTTTTTTGTGTCTTTCAATCTAAATACGCCTCAATTTATTATGTCCCTTTGAATGTGCTCATCACTTTTGATGGAAACAAAAAAAGAATGAAGAAACAAATCAAGGATGAGGTGTGTAGTGAATTAAGAAGTGGTACATGGATGAGTCCATCTGCTGTACTGCTTCTGTACCTAAAACATTGTATTGACAGTGCTTGAAAGCATCATAGCTCCTTACTAAAAGTGGTTATCAGCTTTTGTTTAATAATGGAGCGCAAGAACTAAAGCCTCTTTTGGTTGCTAAACTTCTAATCTACCAGAAGTCCAGAACTACAGACTAAAATTATTTTCTTCCTAGAGTCCTCCTGCTTATCATTGAGCTAAAAAGCCACATACTGGGCTTGTTGATAGACTTCTTATAGCAGTCTCAGTATCTTTCTAGTTTAAATAGAATAGTTCATTGGACTATTTTCTCTCTTTTTATGTTTCCTTGTCAGAAAGTGTTTGTATTTTTAATACTTGAATCATATTCTTTATGGGGTACCATGTGCCTTTACTTTCTGATTGTTTTGTAGTGCCATAAATATCAATGATTGGTACACAACATACAGCTTTCATGCCTTTCAGGTCAAGGCGAGAAATTTGAAAGAAGTGCAACCCAAGGTCCAATTATTGGCGGTCCGTTCAGCTTGTTTGATACCGAAGGCCGTTTGGTTACCGAGCGCAACTTGCTGGGTAGCTGGGTTCTTCTCTACTTTGGTTATACATCATCTCCTGATGTTGGTCCAGCAGAAGTACAAAAGATGGCTAAAACTATTGATATTCTAGGTTCAACTCGGGTTCTTTAAATGGATATTATATTTTCTTATTTACTGACTTATGTCACTGATGTTGTTATTTCCTTTTTGCTTTGTGGTCCTTTCTGCTTAATATAAACTAGGGTCAAAACAGGATCATCATAAGATCCTCCCAGTATTTGTCACAATTGATCCTCAACGTGATACGCCTTCGCAACTTCGAGCTTATCTTAAAGGTCTGTATCTAGCTTCTCTGATCTCTTTTTCTCTCTCTCTAGGTCTGGAATGAATGTCTTATTGAAAGAATTGTGGAAAGAGATCCCAACTGCGGGGGGGGGGGGGGGTGTTGTTGAAGAGAAAAGGGTTCAGTATAATGGTTGTCTCCTTTTATTTGATGCTACACTTAAGCTTTGCTGATTTTATTTGCATGAAACACAGAGTTTGACCCAAGAATAATGGGATTAACTGGACCAGTTGCTGCTGTTAGACAGATGACACAGGAATACCGAGTTTACTTTAAGAAGGTTGATGAAGAAGGAGGTGATTATCTGGTAGAATGTTCTCACAACATGTAAGCCTCAAGTCCTATATATTGTCAAATAAGAAGCCCTTACAACTATGGAAGAATAAACTCTCGGTTTCTTTTACCTGCGCTAGAGCAATTTGACAGAGTCAGATGTATACTGATGTAATAGGTATTTGGTGAATCCAAATATGCGAGTAGTTAGATGCTTTGGTGTGGAATACAGTGGGGAGGAACTGGCCGATGCAATAGTTAAGGAGCTAAAGAAAGTTGAGATATAGCTATACTCGAAGTGGATTTGGTGAAGTAAGTACATCATACTAAGGTTAGGTTCTTATATTGCCCTTACAATCTTCATCATGTTTTATTCAATGGTTTCTAAGGGTCAAAGTTCATTTTTTTGTTCTAAATGTACAACTTCATTACAGAAAATAAATATACATGCCAGTAACCTTGTTTGTCTACCATTTTCATGTCCAGATCTTCTCCAATTCTTTGTTAAATGTTGTATTATCATCCTCTTGGTCAATCCATGGCTATCTGCAGCAGGTACCCGGGGGAATAGTCGAGGTGCGTGCAAGCTGGCACAGACCCCACCATCGTATTAAAAAAGAAAAGGATTTCACATATTAAAAAAGAAAAGGATTTCACTTATCTGCATAAGACCCTAAAAAACATTATATTATAAAATATGAAGACAGTGAAATAGGGACAGAAATCCTGCTAAATTATTGTCAATAATGAAAAAATACACAAAATGGAAAATATCGTAGATTCTATCAAAAGTTGTTCCTCCAAGAAAAACACGCAGCACCAATAAATTCATGAGAGATTATTCCTAAAAGGGCTCCACTAAGTCACGTATGGTTATAGAACTACTACTATTATAAAACCCATATGAGAGACATAGGAATAGGCTTTCTTTAAAATTCTTTTCTCTCCAACTAATGATGCTGTCATCTTCTTTATTGTCTTGTTTTAAACCCAAGTCTAATATTACATTTTACTGTAAAATAGTTAGGGGAAAAGGTTGATCCATGTCTTTTACTTCTATTTTATATTTGTAGTAAAACAACACTTGAAAAATGTCACGCAAATGTTTTATTGTTCCCAAATATGTTGGCTGCGGAAAATCTGTCATTTCTTAATCAAATTGCTATAGCAGATAGCTTGTAGTATGTTGAACATGTTTTTCGTTCATCTTCCTGCTATATATAGTGGAAAGGACAGTCCGCCTCGAACCTTGATGTTGGGAAGTTCCAGTCACCAAGGGAGCAAGTGGGGAAAGAAGTCAAGAATAACATTCTTGATTTTTAAGTTGAGTGGGGTCTGGACTTGGGGTTTAGCGTATCAAATCTAAAGAATTAATAAAAGAGTTGGCTGCAGAATGAATGTCAGCTGCAGATTGGTTAAGAGTTTGATGTAGAGTTACTTGATAAAAGAACTAAATATTAGAAAGGAGCCAATTAGTTCTTTTGCTATCATAGAAGAACATTGTATATACTTTATTATCCTCTTTTGTTTGCTCCATCCTAAACTTTAATCACCTTGTATCTCTCATCTTGAGAGATTTTGAATAACTAGTCAGATTTAGGGGTCGTTGGTTTAGTAACATGTTATGCAAGGATTAGTAGTGTAGGGATTGTAACACGTAGATTATTTCTTGTAAGAAATTTAGTTGATATATTACAAATTAGTAGTGTATAATAATTGATATATGTGCTAACTTCTTAACAAAATATAAGTTTTTTTCCTATTTTATGTGAGGGTTAGTTTTGTCTTGTTTTAATCAATGTGTTACTAATACCCACATTCTTATTTTACGTTCTGTCCTAAATATTAATACATTGATTCCCACGGAACTTATGCAAGTATCATTTATGACTTATGAGGAAAAGAAAACAAGTGATGAGACATTGTATTTGTGGGGTTTTATGTGGAGATTTTTTTTAATGAATCCAACTAAACGACCCCTTAGTGGATGAGCAGTATCAGGTACAGCACGCTAGTGTGTAAAGGTAGCTTGCGGCTTATAGCCGGAGAACATTACTAGGTTGATCTGCGCTGAGCTTATAAGCTGATACTCTGCTTAACTATTATGTCAAGTACAGTACACAATGATGAAGCATGTTGTAAACCATTAGTTCTGTCTTAAGAATTATTGGGATGGGTAAAATTCCTACCTTCAGTACCTGGAAACTTCTGCTACAAGATATCTGCTACTTTTTCGCTAGTACAAGTAGCGGGTACTATTTCCACATAGGTTTAGAAGATGAGAAGGAAATTACTAAGCCTTTTTACCTATACTAGAATTTTTACTCTGGTTTCTCATGTTATATCCCAGCTTTATTGAATGTGAGGCAGATCTATTATATGAATCCTGTAATTTATTTTGCTCTATTTGGAGCTGCTATGTTCTAGTACTCAATAAATTGATGTTAACGTATGTCTAGGAGAGTATGTCCCGGCATGTTCATTGTTATGAGGATTAATGGAAAATTGACTACATTATCTATAAGCCTAAGGTAACTCTCCTCCCTCCATGTTCAAGAACCAACATTATAAGCTCTCATAGAATGCAAAGCTTTCACTTTAGAGTTTGTTCGAATGATCTTTGTTTTTTTCTTTGATTTAATGATCGAGTTGTGTATGTTTTATTATTTTTTAATGATTGAGTGGTTTATACTTGGCCATTGATTTGGAGAACCAACGTCCTAATACCTGATTTTCTGTTTGGACCCTCAATATGTGCAACTGTTCTTTCTGGTGAAGTATAAGTATAGCAATATTGATTTTTGACTGAAATCTTATTGTGTATTATCCTATGTGATTTTGCATTTGATGTACGAAGGGGTCATCACAAACTTGCTTACAATATTGTGAGTAGTTAAGGTTACATTCTCACAATTGACGTTTACATGTACCTTAATAGGTTCTCATGCTCGTATACATTCTTACATCTGACATTTACATGTTCCCTAATAGGTGGAGCCAGACATTCGATTTTTGCCTGTTGTCATGGCAATTTAAGGACCTTTGCAGCAGCTGAGTTCGATTAGGTGTGCTAGTCATCTCTCAACAATTTACTAGTTTTGAACAGAAATTTCTCTGATGGTCAGAGGGTTGAAAAAAAATATCTTCAGTTAAAGCAAATTGGTTCTGGTAGTTTTTTCTCGTCTGGGCTTAATGAATTTGGACCTGGTCGGTGGGTAATGCAAAGTAGGTGGCTGTTTGGTTGCCTAGCAAAAGTTTCATTCTATAATTAATTAATTGGATATCAGACTGAGTCAAGTTTGAAAACATTAACTTATTGAATTTCAACCTCATTGTTGACTAAATAGCTAATCACTTTTGTCTTGTGAGAAGTGAAAACAACAAAATGTAATTTAGGCGATGTTAAAAACATGCAGACTATTTCAAAAAAGAGACTAAGGAGTTGAATTTTGAGTTCCTAAATTGGTGTGCTCAATTCAAAGTTGATAATTCTACATTTTGACTTCTTTTTTTTTTTTTAAGAAAAAAAAAACTACTTTTTCAAATACATGAAGTTGTGATTTGTAAAAAAAATTGATGTAGTTTTTTTGTATATTAATCTTCTGTCTTAAAAATGAAAAAAATATTAGAAACTAGTGATGAACCTTTTGCATTATAAACTATATTTTGATCAATTCTCAAAGAGTGCGTGCATGGTTATTGGTACTTCAAGGATTAAAAATCCACTTAAAGACATTTACATTAAGGAAGACACAGAGAAGTTCATGAATGGGAAACGGTGACAATATTACTATTTTCTTTTTGATTTAATAATTCATTTAACTTATCAGTGAAATAGGTTTAGACATTCGAATTACCATTGAGCTTTTGAACACATGATAAAGTGTGCTTGTAAAATAATTTATGTGTGTGTTCTCAAGTTTCTATGAAGTAACTATTTACCACACAATATACATTGCCTCTATAGTTATATACATCAATTGAAAGAAACTCGAGATTTTACGTTTTATTGATGTTAATCATGCTTAATTGAAAGAGATGGCTGTATTAAATGATTGACTTATCTATGTAATAAGCCTTTATGAACACATACTAAAACTTTTATAAAAGTTCAAATCAGAAAGTCTAATAGAAACATTTTATCATATGATCAGATGCTCGACAAGTCAAGAAATAAACCTTTCTTTTCCTTACTTAGACAATGTAACACTAAGGTTGCATATTGGTCGGTTGATTCCGTTTTGAAGTTTATTGATTTGATTTATTTCTGTCGATTTGTAGACATGATAAATCATTATAGAATCATTACATGCTAAACCATTATAGAAGTAGACCATTAATATATTAATTTGTCGATTATTGATTTAACCGTTAAGATTTAATATGCACAAAAAAATTATTGAAAAGTACTTAGTAACACACACAAACACATGAGCTGACAGATTACACAAACATCAACATATTGTAGAATAATCGAGAGCTTGAGATAGTTAAAAAATGAAAGAATGAAACTGAACCTTCAGTGAAGGACTTTGTATATAAAGTGATATTAATAATTAAATACAATTTATTAATTTACTACCGAATTATCAATTAATTCTTTAAAGAAAATCTCAAACGAACAATCTAATAAAAAACATTATGAACAATATATATCAATATTATTTTTTTTCAATTTCAATTTTGTTTTTAAACGGCTCTAGGTAAGACAATGGGAAAAATAAAGCAAGAGTAGGTATGTGACCCTTTAGAATTAGAAAACAGCTGGCAGCCATACGTGAGCTGCTCAAAGTCTCCTACGTGAACTCCTCTCCTTAATTTGACTTGGTTCAAAAATTATAGGAAAATAAAATAATGAAATAAAAAAGATTCTGCCAACACTAAATTGTTTTATTTCCCTCTAAATATCTTGAGATCCTCCTTTGTTCCATGACCGAGTCTTTTGGTCTCCCTTTTTACACCACAAATACCAAACCAACAACAAAAAAAAGTTGAAAAAATTTAACCAAACAGAAAAGTAAAAGAAAAGGTGTTGAAAAAATTCCTTTTGCATACATTCATCATTACTACTAGTATTATTTACCCCCCCCCCCCCCCCCAAAACAGCTAATTTGTTTCTTCTCTTATCAATTTTTCACATTACATTTCTCTTCTTGATGTAATCATATTTCATTTCCAACAGAAAGAAAGAGAAACAAACACTAAAAAAACTAAAAGAATAGAATATGACAATTATGTACTCTTCTCCTTGGGGCAGTCACCATTTTTCACACAACCAATTTCATTAAATGTAACATCTTGTTTTTGGGTACTACATATTATGGGTTGTTGGTGAGTTATGTATTTCTTTTAAAGCTTGGTCTACAAGTCTTACATAAGAAGCTCATTTCATATCTCAACTATCTATCCAATTATGGGTGATGAAAGGAAAACAGGTTGTGGCCTGTTGAACGCTGTTTTTGGAAGGAAAACTATGTGGACAAAAAGATCGACATCAACAGGTTCGCTTCCAACTCCAAATTCCAGCAATGGTAACAATTTAACGCGATCATCTAGTACTCAAAATTCTAAAAAGCATCGGAATGGATCCAACGAGGCTTTTTTAGACAACGAGAAACAAGCTGATAGGATCATACCAAGACCTAATCCAAATCAATCCAAAGTAGCTGCGAATAAGGGTAATGTGCAAGGTGCTGCTGCTGCACCTGTTTATAATCAGCAGAAAACTAATGGTCAAGGGTATAATAATCAAGGAAGAAAAGTAGTTCCGCCATCAACCGGGATATCAGGGGAGCTTGAAAACATGATACAAGATCATCAAAGATCAAATGGTGCTAATACATTAGTTCGTGCATCGTCTAGCAATGTGATGTTGTTTGGTAATTTGGGTAACATAAGGCAGCAAGGTGGGGGCAATGCTACAACAACTTCAACAGCGAATCATGTTCTTGATTATTTACCAAGAACGGCTAAAGAAGAACCACAACAACAACCATCTCAGAATGGGAAATACCCGACGAGTGTTATGGGTAATGTAGTAAAGAAAAAGGGTGATCAAGAACAGGGGAAAACAGGGGGCTCTGTTTCCCTTTGTCGCGCTTTATCCACTAGAATGGACCCTGAGCAATTGAAGATTCTTGGAAATGAAGATTACAAGAATGGAAGATTTGCTGAGGCTTTAGCTTTGTATGATGCTGCAATTTCAATTGATCCAAATAAGGCTTCTTATCGAAGCAACAAATCCGCTGCTTTGACTGCTTTAGGAAGGCTTCTAGAAGCTGTTTTTGAGTGCAGAGAAGCTATATCAATTGATCCTCATTATCAAAGAGCTCATAATCGTTTGGCCACTCTATGTGTCAGGTAAATGTGACAAAAAAATAAATCATTTCGTCGTTAATTTCATTATATTATTATTACAATTGTTGAAATGACCAATGTTTTCGTGTTTAGATTAGGAGATACAGAGAAAGCTATGTACCATTACAAACTAGCTGCATCAGAAGCTGATCCTGATGTTGTGACAAAGTCTAAATCTATTCAAATGCATCTTAGCAAGTGTACTGAAGCGAAGAGGCAAAGAGATTGGAACACTCTTCTTAAAGAATCTGCCCTCGCCATATCGGCTGGTGCAGATTCTGCACCACAGGTTAACTATCTACGCATTAAAAAACCATACCAAATTGTTCTTTTCTCTAGTGTCATGAGCTAAACTTTTTTTTTTTTTGGTCCTTTATGGATAACAAAAAAAAGATATTTGCTTTGAAAGCGGAGGCATTGGTGAAGCTCCATAGATACCATGAAGCAGATCAAACTCTGAAGCATGGTCCGAATTTTGATATCGATGAATGTATAAAGTTCTTTGGCCCTATTGGCAACGCAGGCTTGTTAGTCATTCAAGCTCAAGTTGACATGGCTGCTGGCAGGTTAGTTAGTTCTCATGTTTTGAATTATTCAACATTTAATTAAAAATTGTATTCAATCTAGGTCATAGTTGTGGTCCTAAAGATGCCAATAACCAAGATTAGGACAGAAAGTAAAGACTTAATTGGTATTAGATTATTGTCAATAAATAAAGTGTTTGGTTTAGCTAACAACTCAAAAGGAGAAATGTTTGTAGGAGAAAAGAGAAACCAAAAAGAAGAGTACTTGAGTATGTATTTGGTAGTTAGGTTCAATTTCACCCTCAATCAATATTCATGCTTGACATCCATGCTAACACGAGTAGTTTAAAAACCTTTTACAAGGTTTTCAAGATATTGCTTATTAATAGTCCTTCTATGGATAATAAAATACAAAATAATGTGACTCATTCAGTCATATCATCTTAAATAAAATACAAAATAACAGACACAATCAATAAGTTATGTCCCTATTTCAAACTAATTGAACTCGGCCATACGAATGCTATAAATATGTATGCCATAAATCAACTAAACACATTATATTTTCATTGTTACTATCAACTTATTATGATTGCTACATGATAGGATTGACGATGCCCTAGCAGCGGCTCAACGAGCATCGCAACTAGATGGGAATAACAAGGAAGTGAACATGATAGTTAGGAGGACAAGGGGAGTAGCAAGTGCTAGAACAAAGGGAAATGAGTTGTTTAAAGGTGGAAAATATGGAGATGCTAGTGTTGCTTATGGTGAAGGACTAGAGCATGATCCACACAACTCAGTTTTATTGTGCAACAGAGCAGCTTGCAGATCAAAACTTGGCCAATTTGAGAAAGCACTTGAGGATTGCAATACTGCCCTTAATGTTAGACCATCTTTCACCAAAGCTAGGTTGAGGAAGGCTGATTGTTACTTTAAGGTAACTTTTCATTTTCCTTATGCTATGATACTAAGTTTAACAGTTATCTTTGTAATAATTTTTCACTATAATAATCACATTCTATATGAAATCGGTCTTACACGTTATATTATATGTCCTCTAGCTACATTTTCTATCATAACCAACAATGTATTATAAAGGCATAACACATAAATATGACCCTAAATTTGGCATCAGCTGACAACTATGACCTTTAACTTTGGATGTGCACAAGTAGACACTTAAACTTGTATAAAATTAAACAAATAGACACATTCGTCCTACATGGCACCCTAGATGACAAATTTATGTCATATGTGTGTCTACTTGTTCAATTTTATATAAGTTCAAATGACTACTTGTGCAGAATCAAAGTTGAAGGGCATAATTATCCGCTGAAAGGATCATTTTTATGTATCATTAGTTTTTCTTTTTTAATATTAAACAATCATGATATGACATGTCCATGGTAGCTACGTCCCTAAAAAATAGTTGGCCTATTGGTTCTATACATTATCGTTTGACAGGGCTTTTAACAACATTACTGAATATGGTGTATTAATAATGCTGGTATTAGATATATTTGTATCAATTATGTAGAGATTATTTTTTATGCAGTGTTAGATTTAGTATATGATAGCATTTAGTTGATTTTTTTTTTCTTTGATTGAAATAATTGAAGATTTTGATGTATATTATTTTATGTGTGATATACTAGATGGGAAAATGGGAAGCATGCGTACAAGAATGTGAAGTGTTGATAAAGGAGACACCAGAAAATGAGGATGTGGGACAAATGATTAAGGATGCCCAACAACAACTCAAAAAATGAGGAATTTGTCAAAGACATGAAGAGCATGAACACCACACAATGACATTTATGGTTGTCCATAACAAAGTAATTTGAATTGTATCATCACTTGTTTGTTCAATTCCAATCCCTCCATAAAAGGAAACAAAAGGGTCAAATATAGAAAAAAAAAAGTGGTAGGGAAGGGATTAAGTGAAGGATTTATAAAGGTCTTTTAGGGAACAAAGAAAATAGATAATGGGAGAAAGATCAAAGGATTAAGAGGCTTGAGCTAGAAAATAGGATTTGGTAGGCTATATTGGCTCATATCTTTAGGGAAAAAAGAAAACAAAATTAAAGAAAGGAATTCATTAGGGTGCTTTAGAAACAAAAAAAATTAAAGCACTATGAATTTTTAGTGAATGAGAACAATTCTTTTACATTTGATGCATTTTCTTAATATGTAATCAGTTTGTTTAACATGGTTTTCCCGACTCATTCTCTACTTTGCCTTGTTTTATCTTGGCGTAATACATAAATTGAACTCTAAACTTGGCTTCAAATTCTTCGATTTTCATAATGCACAAATAGGCACTTTAACTATCCAACTTTTAAATAAATAAACACATGAATCTTACATGGTAAAATACACGTAGGACACCACGTAGGACAAAAATGACATGTAGAACATGTGTGTCTATTTGTTCAACTTTACATAAATTTAAGTGCCTATTTGTGCACATCCAAAGTTGAAGGGCAAAAATGTAACTTGAAGCCACATTTATGTATTATGCCTTTTTTCTTCTCCCCCACTCACAAAAATAAAAACAACTCTATCAGTCTCAAAATACTTGCGATATTTTTTATTTACACGTTTCTTAAAAAAATACTAATTAAAAAGAGTGTTTAGCTATTTTATCCTTATTTATATCTTAAGATATAATCTTTATTTATTAAATATTTATTCTATTTATATGCCATAGTTGAGGTATTAGTAGTGTTAAAAGCAAATTCTACTAAGAAGAATAAATTGAGGAAATAATAATTAATTTGTCTTAAGCTTGTATAATAATAAATATTTTGATTTTCTTTTAGTAATGGTGACAAGTATTTTAAAACGTTAAAAGTAAAAGAGATACTCCATATATCTTGGCAATTCACTCTGCATTTCTTTCTTGAAACTTTATTAAAAGCAAATGAAATTCTTAACAATCATTACTCCATAAAATATGCAGTGGTCCTTCTTATTGTATTAATTAAAGTGCATCACAGCTAGGTTAAGGCTGTTTCACGATTTTGTAGTGTGACTAATCAATAAGTAATTTTTCCCTAACTTGGGTCCTTTAATCATCAACCAGATGGCATGATCGAGATGAATAATTATTAAGTTGAAAAATAATGATATATAATCTTTTGGCCCCTTCACCTAATTTTGTATCTAGCGTATAAAATTGAATCAAATCGCAAATTAAATCAAATCGAAAAAAAAATTTGATTAGTGGTTTGATTTGACTTGATTTGATGTTGGACAAAAAAAATCTGACTATATTTGAGTTGGGTTGTTTCAACTAAAAAAAACAACTCGAGACCAAATCAATCCGACATTATATATATAATTTTAAAATTTTATTTTATACATAAAAATATTTACTTTGATATAATTTTTAAATATCTCTTGTACTTTTCCATAGTTTTTATCTTTTAGTAATTTATTTCATGTTTAGAAGGTAGAATTCTTAATGATCTAATAAAGATTATAGTCCATACATGTTGGTAATTATAATAAAGTTTAAATAAAAGTCAAATTAATACTAATGCAAAAAAGAAAATCAATCCAACACTAAGAATGACAATGATATTGAATATTTGTTTTTAGTGTTACATAAATTTATATAATTAAAATACATATCTAATTACTTTCTTTTAATATTTAGTCATGTAACTAATACTTACTAAATTTGTTTTATCATGATTTAGTACTTTAAATTATGATCAATTTTATTATGACTTATTAATTTGCAATATTTGTTTTAAGCGATTTTATTATTATTATTTTGCTAGATATTTTAGTGTCATTAATCATATCATATATTTTGTTATTTTCTTGAGAAATAACTTAGATAGTTACATTTGGTAAGACTGAAGAAATATTTGAAGTACAAGTAAATTATATGTTTATATGAATACATTATCGAAAAAATCTGAAAATTCGAAAAAAATCCATAAAATCCGAAGAAACACGAAAAAACTTGAAGTTGAAAAACTCGAGTTTTATTGGTTTGATTTGGTTTATAAGTTCAAAAATTTGAGACAAATAGTTTGATTTGATATTTGAAAAATCTCAACCAATCCGATCATGTGCACCCCTATTTGTATCCATTTACTAGAGTGTGTAGGTTGAAAATGACTTTCTTTACTAGAGAAAATTGAGTAATTATTAGTGCTTTCAAGAATGTTTTAGGGGTGAGTTTTGAGAAATGATATATGTATTATATACTATCATGTTTTTTCTTTCAGGCTGTAGTAATTTTTTCTAATATGAATACATAAAATGTCATAAAAATGACATTGCTATATATAATTCTTTAGATAGTCGTGTTTGAAATTAATATGATAGAGCTTTCATATTCTTGAAACAACTATATTCATTTTTTGTCATTATTTGTACACCTAAATCATTTTTCTTTATGATAAAGAAAAAGAGTCAATTTCCTAAATGGTCACTCAAGTTAAGGGAATTGCCTTAAAATATTATTTATGTTTCATTTAGGATTAAAAGATCACTCAACTATCACTATTTTCCTCCAAATATACTTGACAATTCAAAAGCACCACTCTCTCCTAGTTGGCATGACATGTCATTAAAATCTTATTTTAATAATAGACTAATTTAATTCATTAAACTTATTTAACTAAAATAATGATCATATTGTTTTTAATTTTTTAAAATTAATTTATCGAGAATAAAATTTCATACTTAAAATTTTTTATCATAATTGAAATTTTTATTTTTTTATGTTATGTAGAATGCGTTTTTAAAACGTACTATAATCTCATCAATTTTAAATACTAATAAACATATACATTCAAAAAATATTGATGACAAATCACTCATGAATGCAAATTTACTTCAATTAATTATAAATTGTATAATAAATCTATAATATTAAAGCTCGATTAATTATTAAAAAATAATTATTTGGGTGCTTTGAAATCAATGTATACTTATAATATCTTTTTTAAAAAGAAAATAGTAAGTGAATAATATTTATAGATTATACAATTTTGATCTTTATTTATCATTATACTAATCTCATATAATATGTATATTATCAAATTAAATTAGTAAATTTAATTAATTATTAGTTTATTTATGATGTTTAATTGTATGAAAAGTTATAATATAATATAATATAGAATAAAAGAATAAAAATAATAAAATTAAAAAAAGTTAAATAATTATTTTCTTTTTCTTACCAATTTTTTTGTCAACCTTACAAATTTATCTAAATACTTTTATTAAAAAAATTGTTTAAGATTCTCAAATAATTTAGTTAGGAATTTTAAAATTATCAGGTAATAATTGCACATATAGATTTTTTCATAGAATTTTGTTTGGTGACAATATATAAAGTTACTGGACTTTTTAAATTACTTTTCTTAAAATCTTCATAAATTCTCATGTAATTTATATATTTATTTTGTAGAGACATAAGTTTGATGAACTAAATAAGTCTATTATTTTTTTTAAATGATTATTTAATGACATGACATATCAACTAGAATTTAAGTAGACTTTTGAGGTATTTAGTATTTCTAATGGATAAAAGATATAATATTATTCACTTTCTTCTTCTTCTTTTTCAAAAAAAAATAACAATATCGAAAGCATAAATTGCAAAATGTACAATTAATATTATTGTAATAGTTAATTGATCTTTGATTTTATTGATTTATTATACAACTTATGATTAATTGATGTAAATTAGTGTTAATAAGTGATTTGTATATAAATATTTTTTTGAATGTATGTGTTTATAAGTATTCAAAATTAATAAAATTATAGTACATTTTAAAAATGTATTCTTCCTAACATAAATAGGTTCAATGAATTAAATTAGTCTACTATTAAAAAAAACTTTAATGACATGTCATGCCAATTAGGAGAGAGTGATGATTTTAAAATGTCAAGTATATTTGGAGAAAAATAGTGATAGTTGAATGATATTTTAGTCCTAAATGAAACATAAATGATATTTCAAGACAATTCTTTAACTTGGATGGCCATTTAGGGAATTGACTCTAATAAAAAAAAAATCCGTGTAAATATTAATTAAGGGTTAAAAGTCTAGTAAAAGATGGGTGATGATTTAAATTTAGAGATTATTTTGGCTATTATCATTTTTTGTGTTGTTAGTTGTAATATATTTTTCTATATTATTTGTAATTAATATCTTTTTCTCAAATAATAATTATAATATTTTTTCTATATTATTAATTATTTATAAAATTTATTTGTAAAATTATTGAAAGTTTTACTTTCCTTATTCTCTTGGTAATACAATTATAAATTGAATATACATGTTGCCCCGTGTCTCAAAGTTTCCACCTCATTTCAATGGTATAAAATGTCTCACCTCACGCTTCACCTTTTAAACACTGATAACTATATGTTAGCCTACCAATAACTTATTCAAAAAAATGTATTATGTATAGCAGTTAACATGGTATTCTCTTGATATACATGATACGGTTCTCAGAATGAAAGTGAAATTAAAATTGGTTGTATCTCAACATTTATATTCATGGTATGGATAAATATTGATACAGTTCTATAGATGGAATATGACAATTGATATTAGTTTCAGTTTAAAATATTATATATATATATATATACACATATATATATGTATACATATATATAAATACATACATACATATATATGTATACATATATATGTATATATATATATATATATATGTGAGCGCGTATAAATATATATTATCATAATGTATCTCACATGTAACAATCACACTACTAAAAGGAGTAAAAAAAAATTTTTTGGCAACAATCGACCTAAAATGGGAGGTTTGGTAATTTAGAAACTCTCAAGTGGGAGTCGAAAAAATGTTTCATTGGTTTGTTCATACGTTAGACTTTACTCCTAAATCAGAAGGTGTTAAATATTTGAAAAAATGACCAATGTTAATAATTTAAAAAATTAAAATTGAACTTTATCGTTTCTAGCCATTACATCGCCAGTTCCAAGTTAAACCACGCGAAATCTAGACTAAGGGTGATAGTTTTGCAGCATGTTTTGTTCATATAGCATAAGCAATAACACTAACTATTATTTTTATTTTTTGAAAGTGTAGTATTCATGATAGTAGAGATGGACTCAAAATTTTCACTAAAAAAATTTGAAACATAAACACACGAAAAAGTTATATGAGATTCAATATCTACTAGGGGCGGAGCCAAGCGGTTCATGCGTATCCCTTCGACAGAAAATATACTATTTATACATGGTTAAAATAATATTTTATGTATATATAGTAGATGTCGAACGACCTTCGATTACTCTGTGTGTCTATTTTTGTACGAATATTGAACCTCCTTATTAAAAAGGGAAACTTACATAAATATACTATGACTAAAAAATATTTACCATTTATAGCAATAACTTTTTTTTCCCGCTTGACCACTTTTAATTCATTTATAATATAAGTTTAATATATATTACAAAGATAAATTTATTATTCAAATATAATACAAGTTTTAATGATGTATAATACATTTATCACACATTTTCATACACTTATAATACAGTGTGATAATTTTTTACCAAACAAACATAATATATTTCAAAAACAATTATAATTCAAATATATTGCATACATAATTCACTATTAATACATATTACAGATTTATCACAATATTACTATAAATGGTAATAGTAAAAAGTATCGCTAAAATCAGTAATTATTTATAAAAATATATTTATTCATATAATTTTTTTGATTAAAAATTCTAGCTCAGCTATTGATAATATATATTGGACCTTATTATTCATTAGATAATCAATGTTTTCATCAACCATACTACATCTCGAAAACATAAACATCATAACAACCCTGAGCCCTTACCAATTGTCTTTTCTGCCCCTTAATAAATTCACACTACTCCAATATAAAATATGGGCTCAGGCCCAATCAAAGCCCAATAAATGACTAATAGATCACATCACAGCAGCATCGAAAACAACCAGATTCTCACCGGAAACAGGTAAATTCTCAACGGAAGCAGGCAGATCCTCACCGGAGAAGGACAAATTCTCAACGGAAGCAGGCAGATCCTCAGCAGAGACGGACAAATATTCCCCGGACTTCGTCTTTCTACACAGATTTTTGATGAAAGTGAGCTGATAAGGAGAATGATCAGTCGCGATCCACTGCTCCACTTCGAAATGCTGTTGACGGCATTCTCTATGGACTCCTGTGACGGTGACTTCAACGTAGTTACAGTACCATCCATGGCCGGAGCCTGTTCCATCGGAAGTCAAGTTCATCTTACAGATGGGCCCATTTAAACATGGGCCTCGGCCACTGAAAATGTCCAAGTTTCCTCTCTCGAAATAGTTGTAACCCGGGCCCATAAGTCCGCCCCAAGCTTCCAAGTTATTGATTCGAATACCATACCCGTTTGCATTGTAGAGAGTCAAGCTGATGATGGAATCAGTTCCAGCTTTTATTTTTGAACTCGTTCGAACGTAAACTGTGTAAACACAATCAACTTCCTGCAATTTACAAAAAATAAAAATGAGATATGTGTATACGTAAAGGACGGCAAAATCAAGTTCAATTCGTTTAAGTTATTAAGCCGTTTATTCACTAGCTCAATTCATTTTCACCCATTTTTATTAACCCCAAATTGGCTTTAAAAATCTTGTCAACATTTTCAAAAACTTTTTTTTCAATTTTGAATGTTTTTAATAAGGAATTTTTTTTTTATTAGTTACTAAAGTAGTTTAAAAGACTAAATAAAATAATTAAACTTAATAAAAATTAAATTGAAATTGGGTCTTGATCTACAATATGTTACCTAATTCATTTCAATTCAACCTCATTTTGATTAAACAATTTGAATTGAATTAGATTTTGACCCGTTAACTTGACCTATTACGATTGGTATAATTTGAGCCCACCCAACCCACTGTGAAGCACAGATATATGGAGTACTCCAAAAATATTTTATTAAATATAAAATATACCCTTTTTTTTTATTTTAGTCCGGTAGTCTGCCATAAAATGTTTACAGATTTTAAAATAATTTATGCATTTAATACATAAAATGTATTATAAATTATAAAAGTTAACAATTTATCATATTTAAAAGGACATATAAATAAATATATACCCATTAAAGAATATAAAAATCTTATTTGACTCTTGAAATTTAAATTATATCCGAATAAAGCTAAGGGAGTCTGTTGCCAAAAGAAATACGTGTTAAATACATCATGTATTTTATATCTTTTACTCCTATTAATCGAAATAAAAACAATATTTTTATATGTAGTAAATTTTTAATTATATCCTCATTGTAAAAAATTATTTTAATAAATGAACAAAGAATTTAAAAAAGACAAAAAAAAAATATCATATAGTTAAAATTTTAACATTCGAAAATTTTCTTTAAATTCCTAAATTGGGTGTTTAATGAATCTGAAAGTATATTGAATGAAAATCAACTTAGTAAAACCAAAATACAATAGTAATAGAGTAACAAATAGCAAGAGTATGAGAAGAGTAACTTACAGATCCATAAATAGAGGAGATGGAGAAACAAAAAAAGAGTATAAAGAGATTGAACCAAAAATAGTTGAGTTGAGTTGATACTCCCATGCCTTCTTCTTCCTCTCTCTACAATATATGCAACTACTTCAATTTATAGTAACACTCTACAAGTTTTTTTATATTCGATATATATATATAGATCACATCAAGCGCTAATTGATGGGACCTTATAATATTTGTACAATTCTATTTTCAATTTTCTCTTTTTTGATAGTAATGCTTATTAGAAGTTTCATTTAAAATATTTAAAATTTAATATATATATATATAAAATAATTTTTAAATATATAATTTTCCTATATATGAGAACACCATCGAATAGAAATTTATATAAAAGTTTTCATTGTCTTGAGAATAGGGCAATCATTTTTCAGAATAAGCAAGTGTCACATATCTATTAGGCATTAGCACATGGTAGGTAGAAGCTCAAAGTAATTTCACCAACTCAACTCTCGTGTTTTCCATGGTTTTAATTGGCGTGCTTATTAATATATGATATGATATTGTGAAATAAAATTTGAATAATTGATTTAAAGGATAATGCACAAATAATTCTCTTTTGAAATTTTAGAGATACATTAATACTATACTAAGGTTCTATTATTATCTAAACTTATTTTATTGATAATTTTCTATCCTTTTTCGCCGTAGGTCGAAAAGAGATAGAAAATTACTTACTTCTTTTGTCCCTATTTACTTGTTCATATTTTTTTTAGATGTCCCTATTTACTAGTCAATTTTGACAAATCAAAAAAGGACAAATTTGTTTTTCCTATTATACCCTCATTTAAACTCGTTGAAAATTTCAAAGTTTTAATTCATCATTTTTAAATCATATTTAATAAGGGTAAAATTGTAACTTCACTATGTTAATTATTATTATCTTAATATGTGTGCCTTTTCTAAAGTGGACAACTAAATAGGGACGGAGGAAGTATAAAATAAGTTCGGGGGATAAGTGTTTCCGGAATTTCGAGCATAGGTTGATGAGTTACTTGTGCATTTTTCCTTGATTTAAAGCTAATTTTATCTCATAATTTCACATTATGTAAATCATATATTCTAAAAGATCATCATTGAGAATTTCATATCACGATTTTAGATTTTTCAAAAATATAAAAATTGATCTCTAAGTTTATATTTTGTAAAAAATAATCTCACATTTATATATACAAGTCATTTATTTCATATATCAATATGCTCTTTGAAATTTATTATTTTCACCAACATAAAATTTATTAATACTTTAAATCAATTCCAAATTTGTTATTTATATCATTAAATTCATTATTTCTTATCAAATTTATTTATCAACCAACTTTATTACTACTATTTTAAAGTCCATTTGACCATGCGAAAGAGAATCGTGAAGTATGATATTATAATATGAAATCATGAGATAAAGTTGATGTTTTGTTTGGACATACGATATGAAATTTCTGTATTGTATAGTTTCTCATAAACATAAAACCTCATAAGTTGTAAAATTATTCAAAATAGTCCAATTGTTTATTCAATCTTATCAAATAAACAAAAAATTTATAAAATCACATAATGAATTATTATAAAGTTATTCATATTCTACTTAATTAATTGTTTCATCTAACTTTAGTTGATCAAACTTTAATTCAATAAGAAAAAAATGAATATAAATTGTAGTGTACTAGTCGTTAATATAATCCTCTCACATAGTACGAATAATCTTCTCACGTTGAACTTGCATTTCTCGATCATATGAACCTACAAGACTAACTAACATTTATTACTTTAAGCCATTTGTTGAGCAATATTATCATAACTATATTTCCATGCTCATAGCCCATTATTTCATCACTCCTTTGTTATTATCGCAAATGATTATGTAACACAGTACAAGTTATACAATTTTCACTTGTTTGTCAATATCATATAGTTCATGTCCTGTTTCACTTGTGTGCAATTACACATTTTTCAGTGGCATTGATTTCATGCTAAAATCAAACATATTAGAAATACTCATATCAAACATACATCACCAATTTTGTCTTTTTCATATTAAATTGCTTTAAATTTTATATGTAGCCGAAAGAGATTTTTTTTATTATGTAAAACCAAAAATATATCACTCCCTCAGTCTGTATCTATATTCACCAAATCAATTCCTACTTTATCATTTATATTCATCAAATTGAAAGCACTAATAAATTTTATGTTAGTGAAAAAAAATAAATTTTAAAAAGTATTGAAGTGATTATATTATTAATTTTATTTACATATGAAATAAATGGTCAATAGATATCACGTGGGATTGTTTTAACAAAATATAAACTTGTGGATCAATTTTTATATTTTAAAAAAAATCTCAAATCACGATTTTTGGAGAACATGGTATTACATTTCATGAGATGAACTCATCGTGAAATCACATGTTCAAATGCAGATTTTATATCGTGATATGGTATCGCATGGTCAAACCGCCACTTCATGTTAATTAAAAAAAGTTTTTCATCTATATTGAGAAAAAATGACTGACCATAATGACTTTGTAAAAATTTATTATGTGATTTTATAAAACTTCATTTATTTGGTAAAAATGAATAAATAACTTGGACTATTTTAATAATTTTAACTTATGTGATTTTTATGTTTATGAGAAAATATATCATATAAACACTTCAATTACATCTCATAATTTCATATCGTGTAGCCAAACCGACAGACCCGAATTAAGGGAATTTCAAACATATTTGGCACTTTTCTTTTATATTTTTTATTGTCTTATTTGAGCCAACTATTTCATTTATTACCACGAGAAAGTAGTTGGCTCGAACACTCATTTAAGTCTCAAACTCACGATTTAAAAAATTAAATCTAGAGGTGTATAAAATCGAATCAAACCATAAAATGAGACGGAGAGAATACTATTTATATCTAGGGTAAAGTAATAAATCAACTACCATCTTAATGAATTATTGATTTATCCAATACCCATGTTGAAAAATCAAAACCCAATCGATAATATTTTTATGAAATGAGAAACTTAAAGACTTCATTGACCACAACATTATCTCAAAATTTTCATCTTATCAAACAAATTTGTTTTTCCATAAATTTTTATCAAAATAATTATCTAATTAATTGCGTGTTTGAAGGGGTAACTCCCATTTTCGGCTGACATTTTCTATTTTTTAGACGAACAACGTGTGAAGTGGCCACTTGTTTGTTTTCCATTGATAAAAAAAAACATTGATAAATGATCCAAAAAAATCTCACGTACTTTCTTTATTGTCCTCTTTTGTTTGTCGGTAAGCAATTATTTGACCCAGTAATAAGTTTGAAATTTATCGATTGAAAATCATATATCCATTTGGTTAACTTTAACTTTACATGATTATTTAGAGAATAATATTAACTAATAGTAACAGAATATTATTAAAAACTTGTGGTTATGAAAATCAAATAACTTAATAAAAAATATTTTTGGACGAATGGACTAATTTATTAATAATTGTTTCTGTCTTTGTCAAGTAAGTAATATTTTTATGTGGAAATATCTTGAAAATCGAACAGTGGAGAGGTATATTCTCGTGGGTTCTAAAATTTTATTCCAATTTGTGACGAAATTCAGCTCCGATATTCTTCTACATTTCCCCCCCCCACAAAATATCCGAAGCTCCTATTGAAATTGAAGTATTGGATATTATTATAGCTGTGTGTGGACACTGTTGGTAACCTACTTCTTCTTCTTCTTTTTCACAAAATATTCCATTTATTCTGAAGAAAAAAAATTATTTTTATTTTGGTTTTTTTATTAAAACAATTGATGACGTGGTCGAATTATAATTGGTCCATCATCAATTTATTTAATAAAAAAAATAAAATTCTAAATTAAAATTGAATTATTTTTTATTTTGAATTTTTTAATTAAAAAATATTAATGACGTGACCGAATTGTAATTGGTCACGTGTCAAATAATTTTGCAAAATCAATGTTAAAAAATAATGGCATGAATGAGTCTTTTCTTTAACGGTAATGACATAAATGAGCCAAACTTTTAATTGACAGAATAAATAAGTCTTTTCTAAAAATTTAATAGTGTATTTGAGCTTTTTTCCCTTAATTCTTTAATCTTTTTTAATAGATATCTTCATTTTCCTTCGTAATAAATAGATATGAAAATAACGGATGGGACGAATAATTGTTTTTGGAAAATACAGCCCTTGTGGAGATATACAACAAAACCAATATATTAATAAAATCTCGCAAATAGAATATTAATATTTATTTTTAATGTATGAAAATAAAAAGTTATTTTTAAAAGATTCTTGAATTTTAAAACAAGTAAAAGTATGAAAAAAATTTACACAACTAATTAACTAAAACAGATTAAAAATTATTTATATATAATATCATGAAAAAATACAGTACTAATCATAAAGTTAATATATGTATTAACTTGCTAATATATGAGTGTTAAAGCTAATAGTATAAGCGAGCACAGTAAAAAACAAAATAATTATAGAAATGTAAAAGCAGAAAAAAGTCAAATTTATTATTCCACCATACAATAATCAGAGTGCAACAATGGCATTTGGTCAAATACCATTCTTGTCCCTGATAAACTTCACACTCACAAGGATAAAATAGGAAAGTGTTGGGGGCCAATAAAGCGGTTGACTTAAATGAGAGAAACTTGTGGAGTAGATTCAATTTCGCTAACCGGCCGACGCTCATCAATCTTCGTCTTCTTCTTGCATAGATCTCTAATGGCAGTCAGCTGATAAGGCGACGCATCGGTCGCCAGCCACTGCTCCACTTCGAAATACTGTTGGTTGCATTGTTTATGGACTCCGGTAACGGTGACCTCAACGTAGTTACAGTACCATCCATGACCTGAACCTGTTCCATCGGAAGTCAAATTCATTTTACAGATCGGCGCCGTCAAGCATGGACCTCGACCACTGAAGATATCCAAACTTCCTCTCTCAAAATAGTTGTGACCCGGGCCCATAAGCCCACCCCAAGCTTCCAGGTTTTTTATTCGAATACCGTACCCGTTTTCATCAAAGAGAGTTAAACTGATGATCGAATCGGTTCCACCTTTGATGATTGATCCAGTTCGGATATATGCACTGTAAACACAATCCTCTTCCTGCATTTACACAAAATTCAGATAATAAATTATCAAAAAGCTTTAACGATTTGATTTAAATGGATAACTTACAGATCCAGAAATGGAGGAGAGGGAGATGGAGAAATAGAGGACGAAGAGAAGGAACCAGAAACGATTGAAGTGAGCAGCAACTCCCATGGCCATTGTTTGTTTCTCTCTTAGTGTAATGTAATACTCGATCTATATCAATGTTTGTGGGGGCCGGCCATATTATATATAGGGTGTGAATACTATCTTTTCCTTTTTCATATCTTTAGTAACTAATTTAATGTTTTCCTTTTTCACATGTTTAGTAACTATAGGTGTTTTTGTACGTGTGTTAAATTATTGTATGTAAGTTTATTATTTATTGAGTATAATGTTTTGAAAAAAATTAATACAAATTTTTAAGATAATACTTACATACAACAATGGTTTTGGCTCCGTGGTGGTTGAGATAAAGGTTAGATATCAAAATGGAAGAATTAGTCACGAAATACATTTTTTTTTTTCATACAAAGAGAAAGTTCAAAGAAAAGCTACGAAAACTCGTCACTCTTTTTTTTCTTCTTCGTGTTTTCTTTTCCTATTTTATATTTACTATTTACTTTTGGATCCAACCAAATGGAAAATACTTTAAATATAATTTTTTAAATTTTCAAATACGAGACAATATGATAAAGAGTGCAACAATTATTCATTTCATCACGACATTTATTAATAAGTAGAATTGGAAACTTTTTAAAAGATGCCACTTCAAGTCAACAAAACATTCAAATATTTTTAGTTTTTCTTTTTCCTTTCCTTTACAAATATTCATCATAAACAAATTGTACCATGTCACCTTTTAGCACATGCCTTGTTATTTGAAAGGGTCATCACCAATCAACTAAAAAATTTTAATTTTTGGACACTTGGTTGTTTGGCAATGATCGAAAGATTGATATGACTTAAATAAATTAACAAGAAGTCTTTTTCAGTGTGACACAATGGTAGACGTAGATATAGTGAAGTGTCAGAAAGTAGATGAGAAACTAAATGTTAATTTGATAAATGTATGGTACGTACATTTCGACGAATACAGAATATATATATATATATATATATGTCACGATTCAAATTGGGCCGCGACTGGCACCCACACTTATCCTACTATGTGAGCGAACCAACCAATCTAAACCCCAACATTTTAAACATAATGAACAAAATACAATGCGGAAGACTTAAACTCATTAATGAAAATCAATTCAATAAACTTCTAAAAACTCAACAACTATTATTCCCCAAAATCTGGAAGTCATCATCACAAGAACATCTATCCTCAAATTATTAATCTAAGAGTATCTAAGAAGCTAAAATACATAAAAAGCTAGTCCATGCCGGAACTTCAAGGCATCAAGACATGAAGAGGAAGATCCAGTCCAAGCTAGAAGCATTAGCTTACCGTGAAATCCGGAGTAATGAAGACTGGCTAGAGTTGCGGTTGAGTTGAAGACGACGGCACGTTTGCTGCACTCCACAAATAATCAAAAAGAAAACATACAAGTAGGGGTCAGTACAAAACATAGGTACTGAGTAGATATCATCGGCCAACTCAAAATAGAAAACAGTATATATCAGATAATATCATAAAATCAACTACAATACTCAACATGCGGCATTTACAATTACCATAACCCTTGGTCGCAACACCAAGCTCATCAATGAGGACTCACGCCTCCCCATCATACTCATTTGGGAATTAGGTTCATTAAATTGAGTATATTGACATATTTCAAGATTCATTCTCTTTACTAATCCTGGTGTCGGAATGTGACACCCGATCCATATATACTATCCTGGTACCGGAACGTGGCACCCGATCCATATTCTATCCTGGTGTCGGAACGTGACACTCCGATCCTCATATACTATCCTGGTACCGGAACGTGGCACCCGATCCATAATCTATCTTGGTGTCGGAACGTGACACTCCGATCCTCATATACTATCCTAGTACCGGAACGTGGCACCCGATCCCCTAATCTCACTACTTTCGTTCATCAAGCCTTCTTTCATACTAAGGCATCATCATTAACAAAGTAGATTAGGGTTTCTTTTTCAAGATTTAGGATTCAATAGCTTTATCATGCTTATTTTATCACAATTATATAATCACAACATGCAAAAACATAATTTAGCATATAGAAGGGTTTACAACACTACCCAATACATATCATTCGCTATTAAGAGTTTACTACGAATAGTATAAAAACCATAACCTACCTCCACCGAAGATTAGTGATCAAGCAAGCAAATTCCCCAAAGCTTTGTGTTTTCCTCTTCTCGTTCGATCCTCTCTCTCTCTTTGTTCTTTCTATTTTCTTTATTCAAATCCTCTTTCTTTTACCCTAATTAGCATATAATTAAGAATAAAAGATGACAATAATAACCCACTAATTTACTCAAGGTTACCTCTTTTAACCCCCAAGTAATTAGACTTACTAACATTAACCCACTAACTTTATAATTAAAGCAGGAATAGTCAAAAACGTCCCTTAAAACATTAAAGAAATCCGACTCCGCCTGGGATTACGCAGCCTGTGACGGCCCGTCGTGCCTGCGACGGTCCGTCCTGCTGCTCCGTCACAGAGTTCAGAGATTCAATTCCCTTAAAGAGTCTGTGACGGTCCATTACGCCTGTGACGGTCCGTCCTGCCATTCCGTTACGAAGTTCAGAGAGTCGATTTCAGTATCCATTTTTCAGAATTTCTAAGTGTTTTGAAACGAGACCCCCTCGACGGTCCGTTGTGCCCATGACGGTCCGTCGTGGGATCCGTCGTCTCAGCCAGTTTTCCAGAAATAACATTTGTTGCTCAAAACGACTAAATAGGTCGTTACAATAGATACCAATTTACCCGTCGTTCATTCTCGAACGATCATAAGAAGAAAAACAAGGGCGAAAAGAAGTACCTGAATCTGTAAACAGGTGTGGGTATCTTTCTTGCATATCAGCCTCTTTCTCCCAAGTGGCTTTTTCAACGGGTCGATTCTTCCATTGAACTTTGATGGATGCAATCTCCCTTGACCTCAGCTTGCGAACTTCTCTATCTAAAATGACAACAGGCTCCTCCTCATAAGACAAATTTTCATCAAGCAGAACTGAATCCCAACGAATGATGTAGTTTCCATCTCCATGGTATCTTTTTAACATAGACACATGAAATACCGGATGTACTCCGGACAACCCTGGAGGTAAGGCTAATTCATAAGCCACCTCCCCTACCCGCTTAAGTACCTCAAATGGTCCAATATACCTTGGGCTTAGCTTACCTCTTTTACCAAAACGCATCACCCCTTTCATGGGCGAAACCTTCAGCAAGACTTGCTCACCCTCCATAAACTCCAACTCTCTAACCTTCCGATCTGCATATTCTTTCTGTCTACTTTGAGCCGTTAAAAGCTTTTCTTGAATAGATTTCACTTTCTCTAATGAATCCCTCAAAAGATCAGTACCCTAAGGTCTAACCTCAAATGCATCGAACCAACCAATGAGAAACCTACATCTCCTCCCATATAATGCTTCAAAAGGGGTCATATCAATACTTGAGTCATAGCTATTGTTGTATGAGAACTCTGCTAAGGGTAAGAAGTTATCCCAATGACCACCAAATTCTATCACACATGCACGAAGCATATCCTCCAACACTTGAATCGTTCGCTCAGACTGACCATCGGTCTGAGGATGGAACGCAGTACTAAGGTCCAACCTAGTACCTAATTCAGCATGCAATGTTCCCCAAAACTTAGAAGTAAACTGCGTACCTCTATCTGATATAATGGAAAGTGGAACTCCATGCAATCGAACAATTTCTGAGATGTAAATTTTGGCTAACTTCTCTACATTATAAGTCACCTTGACCGGAATGAAATGAGCAGACTTAGTTAATCTGTCCACAATTACTCAAATAGAGTCAAACTTCCCCAATGTCTTTGGAAGACCAACCACGAAGTCCATTGCAATTCTCTCCCACTTCCATTCCGGAATGGGCATTCTCTGAAGTGTTCCTCCAGGCCTCTGGTGTTCATACTTTACTTGCTGACAATTTGGACATTTGGCAACAAAATCCACAATGTCGCGCTTCATTCTACTCCACCAAAAGTGTTGCTTTAGGTCACAGTACATCTTGGTTGCACCAGGATATATAGAATATCCGGAACTATGAGCCTCTGTAAGAATAGTGTGGATCAAATCATCAACACGGGGCACACATACCTTTCCCTTAATTCTCAAAACACCTTCCTCATCCATTACTGCTTCTTTAGCCTTTCCTCGCAACACTTTATCTCGGATCCGGATCAATTTCTCATCATTAAACTGCTTTCCCTTAATCTTGTCAAGAAAAGAAGATCTCGCCTCCACACAAGCCAACAATCCTCCCTTCTCATTTACTTCTAACCTCATAAAGTCATTAGCCAGAGTTTGAACCTCTCTAGCCAATGGACGTCTAGAAACTTGTAAGTGAGCTAGACTTCCCATGCTCCCTGCCTTTCTACTTAAGGCGTCTGCCACAACATTAGCCTTTCCCGGATGATACAAGATGGTAACATCATAATCCTTCAGTAGTTCCATCCATCTCCTCTGTCTCAAGTTTAAATCTTTCTGAGTAAAGACATACTGCAGACTACGATGATCTGTATAGACTTCACACTTGACTCCATATAGATAATGTCTCCATTGCTTTAATGTAAACACTACCACAGCCAACTCCAAATCATGGGTCGGATAATTACGTTCGTGCACCTTTAATTGCCTTGAAGCATAAACAATTACGTTCTTCTCTTGCATTAGCAGTGCACCCAAACCCGAATAGGATGCATCACAATAGACAATGAAATTCTTACCTTCCACTGACAAGGTAAGGATTGGTGCGGTAGTCAACAAGGTCTTGAGCTTCTGAAAGCTTTCTTCACACTCGTCCGACCATACAAATGGAACATTCTGTTTAGTCAAGTTCGTCAATTGGGAAGCAATGGAAGAGAATCCCTTGACAAATCGACGGTAATAGCTAGCTAAACCAACAAAGCTCCTTATTTCTGACACATTAGTAGGTCTTACCCAATTCTTTACTGTCTCAATCGTAGAAGGATCCACCATCACCCCATCCTTAGAAACCACATGCCCCAAGAAGGACACTGAATCTAGCCAAAACTCACACTTAGAGAATTTGGCATAAAGCTTTTTCTCCATCAACATTTCCAATACAATTCTCAAGTGCTCCTCATGTTCCTTCTTGCTCTTTGAATATACCAATATATCATCAATAAATAC